GATCAGTTCTTACAGGCAACAATAAGAAACTTTCCAATACTCCTCCAAAATACCTACTGAGCAATGAGTTCCATGACAGTGAAAAACCAAGAGGGGAGGCACACAAAGAGCAGTGGTGTTTCAGCCCTCTGATGCTGCTACAACAAAATACCACAGAATATGTAATTTATTAAAAAAATGGAAATTTATTCCTCACAGTTCTGGAGGCTGGAGAGTCCAGGATCAAGGCCCTGGTAGATTTGGTACCTGGTGAGGGCTATTGTGCTTTCAACATGATGCTTTGTTTCCGCATCCTCCAGAGGGGAGGAATGTGTGTTTTCAGAAGGAGGAGGAGATGGAAGGGCAAAAATGGGTGAAGAGAAGAATCAGGTGTATAATTTTTATGTCAATTACGAATTGTATTTGCTTGCTATAATAGAAGCCTAGACGACAGCAGCTCAAACAAATTAGAGGATTATTTCCACCCTAGATGTGGTCAATACCTGCCTGGGAACCAAGCTTTGTCTCTCTACTTTCCCATGCTGCTGATTGGTCTTTTTTCCTCATGTTCTCTAAATGGCTGCCAGAGTGCCAGCTATCATGTGTACATGCCAGGAAATAGAGGGGTAAAGCAAAGGGCAAGGAGGCCAACCTACTGAGGGAGCCTCCCATGAAGCTTTTTCAGAAGACCACCCAGTGACTTCTGCTGACATCCCTCGGCCAGTGCATGTCATGCAACAACCCCTAGTTGCAAAGGTGGCTGGTGAAAGTCATCTTTTCTCTTATCCCTAATCTGGGCATATTGTTACCCCAGATAATCATGGTTCCATTAGGAAAATGAGAAAAACGAATACTGGCTAGGCAAGTGCAGTCTGCCTCAACTTCTATAGTGAAAAAAGAATGAAAGTCCAAACAATTCCCTACCAATTCAGCAAAAGACAACAAAAGTGAAAATGAAAAAAAAATTGACAGATGGAAATCATGAAACAATATGACAATAAGTCAAAGCATATTAGAAGTAAAAATAACTGTGAATTTATAGTAGTGTCTATTAAAATACAGAGACTTTCTTGCTGGATCAAAAGAGAGATGTATTTTGTGTACAGAAGGAGATGGGAAGTCGAAAATAAAGCAGTGGGTAAGGATATAGCATGGAGGGACTCCCACTTCTAGTAATGATGTGCTAAGGAATTGGAATGGTCCTTTTGCTGAAGATAACTAGAAAAACTGATAAAAGTATTTTTGAAGTTACTGCCTGAAGGAATTGAAAAACAACAATGCAGTGAAAAATGACTGGACCATGATCCAAGCTAAGAAAGACACAAGAGATGCAAGCCTGGCATGTGGGTGTTGTTCAGCCCCTTCATCTTCAGATGCTTCCTGCGCCTTTCCTGTCCCAGGCGTCCTTCCCATGACTTATCCTGTCTTCCATGCTGTCCTCTCTGTCCCCTGACTAGCACCTATCTTCCCCACACCCTTCATCCCATTGCCTTCACACTGAGACCGCAGTGTACTCACCCGAAACATTTTAAATGCGGTCCTCAGTAACACCTGGGCAGAAATTCTGAGGGGGACCAGAGCCTGACACTGACTACTCAGGCTGTGGGCAGAGGCCCTTCTGCTCAGATTGAGCTTGTGGCAACAGCTGGCTTTTCAGTGATCAGGATCAGACAGAGAGGGTGCCTGCTTCTGCAGTGACTGCCTTGATTCATCTTCTCACTATGACAGGAGAGCAGTCAAAGACATTTGAGTCCTAACTGAGGCTTTAAGGGTATCCTGTCCTGGATGTGTCCTGCTTTCCCAGGAGGCTGAAAACTGGGTGCCCTGCAGATAGGACAGACACAGGGGATTCAGCCACATTGAGGGAGTGTGCCCTGTCCCCCCAGTTCCACTGTCTTCATCAAAGATAATCATTGTTAAATCATTATAATCAAAGATAATATGTTAAATTTCCTGATTCCCTTCTTTTTATAATGCCTTTATAACATGTGCATATAAATAGAGACTGGGAGCATATTATCTTTCAATTTCATTTTTTTTCACTTGTACTCCTCCATTACAGCACATTTCATTAAGTGGTCAGTTTAATGTGTTTTCACAATCCTATATTTCCCAGAAACCACCACCCAAAACAAGAGATAGCATATTCCTCCTTCTTTGTGCTGTTTGCAAGCAACATGCCTTGTATCCCTACACTACATGTAAACTACATTCTTATCTATTTTACCTGTATAATAGCTTTGTCTGTTTTAGGATTTGTAATCATCTTGTAGGGACTCCTTTATGTCTAATTTTTTTTTTTTTTTTAGACAGAGTCCCACTCTGTTGCGCAGGCTGGAGTGCAATGGAGCTATCTCAGCTCACTGCAACCTCTGCCTCCTTGGTTCAAGTGATTCTCCTGCCTCAGCCTCCCGAGTTAGCTGGGATTATAGGCAACTGCCATGACACCTGGCTAATTTTTTGTATTTTTAGTAGAGGCGGGGTTTCACCATGTTGGTCAGGCTGGTCTTGAACTCCTGACCTCAGGGGATCCACCTGCTTCAGCCTCCCAGAGTGCTGGGATTATAGGTGTGAACCACCACACCTGGTCATCTAGCTTCTTTCATTTAGCTGAACATTTCTGAGATGCACATATAGTATATTCTTTATGAATGTAATTATTTTTATTACTGTGCATTATTACAGTATATGAATATGTCACTAAATTATTGTCTAGTCTCCTGCTAGTGGACATTTGAGTTGTTTCCAGTTCTGACTTATTTCAATAAAGCTGCTATGAACATTTAGGCACATATATCTTGTAGACATGTGTTTTCATTTTTTTTCTGAAAACTTTAAGGAGTGAGCTGCTGAGTTATAGGGCAGATGCATGTTGAAATTCATTAGGAAGTGCCAAACCATTTTCAAAAGTGGTTCTACTGTTTTACACCTTTCCGCCAGCAGTATATAAGAGAGCCAGCTATTCTGTATCCCTGCCAATATTTAGTCTAGACACCCTAGAGAATGGCTAAAAAATAAGCTGTTTTTTCTGATTTGGGTTCCCATTTTTATTTTCTTCATGACTAATGATGTTGAGCATCTTTTTGTGTGCTTCTTAGCCGTACATAAACTCCTTTTCTGAAGCACCTGATTAAGAATTTTGCTGCAAACTCATTCTGTGTCACCCTTATTTGGCTCTATTGTTTGACTGACCTGAAATCCATGTAATTGAATTTTCTATCGACGGAGATTTAAGTTGCCTCAATTTTATGTTTTTATAGACCAGACTGTATAACCAAAGTCATAGATGCTCTTATATCATTATCACGCTTCCCTCCTCCACTCTTCCTGCCACATATGTGGCTAGAGGAGCACACACCGGAGCGTGATGGAGTCATCTAGCCCCTAACCATGGGCAATTTTGGGGACTGCAGACCTGAAGAGGTTGAACCTACTACCACCAAATTATGGGCATTTGATGTGGTGTAAGATACAGCCAGTCCACCCAAAGTTTTAGGCAGGGAAAGGTGAGAATTCCCACAGTTAATCAAGATGCCAGCCCTCTGTCTAGGGTCTCTGGGCAAGCTAGGAGATTGAAGATTTGCTTTGCTTGGCACTGAGTTCCACAATGAATGACCTACCCACACCTCCTCTTTAACTTGATTGCAGATGCCTGTCCAGCTTAAAAAAAATGTAATGAATGATGATGAAAAAAACGTATTGATGAAACAGAAACCGAAGAAGGAAAGGAATAAGATACATGAACCTCTTCTTCCACCCCAAACAAAGGTAGGTGACAGCAGGCTCTTAATTTGGGAAAGACCTCTGACATGCAACTTCTCTGACCCTCAGCACTCAATAGCGATGGTTCTCTTCTCTGTGGCTCATAGCTTGGGATGATCAAGGAATTTATAGCCCAAACCAGGACACATTTGCAGAAGGTGGTGCTATTACTTCTCAGGAATAAGCATCAGAAACTTAAAATATCCCTAGCAACCAGGACAAATAATTGCCATACACAGAGGTGGGATGATCAGCAATTGACTCACCCTGAGATATCTTCTATTTCTGTATCAGCCTGAAAAAGGTGGGTGACTGAGACATGGAGACTTGGTTGCAGGGCAGATAAAGCCTGAAATGTGGGGACAAGATTATGCAAAGTTCAAGAGTAGAGTGGTGAGCACTGTTTGGATAATGCATTGTCAAATCAAGGGAAATCAATTTAAGCCTAGAATTTGGGGTATGTGTGCACATGTGTGTTTATGTGTATGGTAACTGAAGTTTGAGGTATGGAAACCAAAAGTGTGTGTTTGTGTGTGTGTATGGTAACTGAAGTTTAAGGTATGAAAACCAAAGGTGTGTGTTTGTGTGTGTGCATGGTGACTGAAGTTTAAGGTATGAAAACCAAAGGTGTGTGTTTGTGTGTGTGCATGGTAACTGAAGTTTAAGGTATGAAAACCAAAGGTGTGTGTTTGTGTGTGTGTACGGTAACTGAAGTTTGAGGTATGGAAACCAAAGGAGGTCAAAGTGAGAAATAGATAACAAAGATTCCAAACTCTGTGGAATGGGGAAAGTTTTAATATTGTGACATGACAGAGAGAGAGCAGATTGTGGATTTGAGCTGGAGTCGGGAGGAGCGGGCAGGGCCAGCAAAGGACCCCACTTCTCCAGCTGGTGGGAGGATGTGAAGGGAAGTGTCATGGATGTCAAGTAGGTGGTCCAGCCCAGGTGGAACATGGTAACACTTCAGCCTCTTGACCACAGTGTCCTTGCTGTAGACTGGCCGACAAGGTCAGTGGAAATTTGGGTGAGGTAGCCAGGGCAGTATGCCTCCATTTTACAGGTGGGGACATTAGGACTCAGAGGTCAAGATGAGGTGATCATGTCCATGTCCATGTCCTGTGGGTGGCAAAGGGTGGACACCTACCAGGTCTCCTGGGTCCAGCTCTTGTCCCATTCATGAACTTTAGAGGAAGGGGCCATCCCTCATAGAGGATCAAGGCCCCTTCCTCTCACACCCTGGGGCTGACTGAAATGTGATAATGTTTCCTAAGTGTCCTTCCTTTTCCTTGCACCCCTCCCCACTAAAGAAGCCACTTGGTAACACTGAACTGGCCTCCACAAAGATCCAGGCCTGGTGGCGAGGCACTCTGGTGCGACGCACACTACTGCATGCAGCTCTCAGAGCTTTGATCATCCAGTGCTGGTGGAGGCAGGTGCTGGCAAAGCTGCTAGCGAAGAGGAGGTGGGCGGCGTTGGAGCTCTGCACACGGCAGCAATGGGCAGCAGTCAGGCTGCAGTCCTGGGTCCGCATGTGGCGTGTCCGCCGGCGTTACTGTCGTTTGCTCAACGCTGTCCGCATCATCCAGGTCTATTGGCGCTGGCGAAGTTGTAATCCCCGTGGCTTTATCCAGGGCAGCTACGAGCTCACAGCAAGTCAGCTGAGTCTTAAGCTTGATATCTTCCAGGGATCACAGATTTGCCGAATTACAGACTGCATCCCCTTCCCAATAAAGAACTGACTGGGTCTGCTCCAACTGTGTGTCCCTTGTTCTCTATTAAACAAGCTCTGATTTTTGTCTCAGCAAAGGGTCAGGGAAATGAGGACAGTTACCTGTCATCTCATAGGTCAGCCAGCTTGTCAGGGGTCCTGTGGGGAGAAGAATGTGACAACCCCATGCTGGAGGAGCAGGGCTTGTGACAGATTAGCAATGTCAGCTGTAGATGAGGGGGCTGGGGTTGCAGGGCCACCAAGAAGGCCAGCTCCAGGAAGACTAGTTCATGCCATGGTGTGTGTAATGGCGACCCCTGTGCCCATGCAGTATGGAGGCCTGTGCCATCCTTTGCTCTTAATCCTGCAGTGTCTTTTCTTAGAGCAAGTTCGGAAGCCTTCCCTGGGTCTACATAACCCTGCATGGTCTTTCTCTGGCCATCTCACCCTCTCTATGTCCTCCCTGGCTGCTCTGCTACTTAGCAACTATCCCAAATCTGGGAAGTTTGCTCTGCTGCCTGCTCTCCTAGGGCCGTCGGCTTCCAGATGGAGCTCCCACTCCATGCAGGTTTGTCTCTGTGCAAAGGCGCCCTCCCCAGCTCCTCAGTCTGCCTTCCTGTTTTCAAAGTCCTCATCCTTACTTGAGCTTGTCTTACCCGATTGTCTATTTTCTTTTCCCCTCTAGAGGGTGGCCTCCAGGAGGGCAGGACTCTGGGGTCAACGCTGTGTTCCCAGGACCTATAATGGGGCTTGGCACATAGTGGTTCTCTCTTTATGTATCTACACATATGTACAGGTTCAGTATCCCTTATCTGAAATGCTTAGAAGCAGAATAGCTTCAGATATCAGATGTTGGAATGTTTGCTTTTTACTTACATATTCAGCATCCCTTGTCTAAAAATCAAAATCCAGAATTCTCCAACAAACATTGTCTTTGAGCTTCATTTTGGCAACAAAAAACTTCCAACTTAAGACCATTTTGGGTTTTGAATTTTTAGATTAGAGGTACTCAATCTGTATATATTTAGATATCCAAATCACCCAGTTCAGAGCAGACCCCCGCATCTAGCTCTTACACCCCAGGAGGCAACGTTCCTCTCACTTAGTTATTCCCGGGCTGGTACCAGGACACTAGGGACCACCTCTACAGCTTAGAACTCACCACATTATCCAAACCAGCCAACTGTAAATGCTTTACCCTGCCCTGCCTTGCCTTTCCCTCAGAAACTCAATTAAGACCATGAGCTCAGATCTCCCCTTGCTCCTTACTCTGCCACCTATGACCAAAACCTGGAACCTCCCTTGTCACCTGCATAGCATACCACCCACTGTAAGAACCAGGATGTGGGAGTGTAATAAACTTTGTTTCGTTGAGTTTCTTCTTGTCTCCACTTTTGGCCACACCTGATTCATTTAAAAAAAAAAATACAGGAAGTGTGTGTGTGTGTGTGTGTGTGTGTGTGTGTGTGTGTATGTGTGTCTGTGTCTGTAAGTTTGAAGTGTTCTTCATGTAACATGAGACTAACCATTTTCAGATCAACCACATAAGATTAACCACTAAGCTAAAATTAACAATTTGGTGGTATTTAGCATATTCACAATGTTAAGCAACCACTGTCTCTATAAATTTCTCACACATTTTTATCACAATAAAAGAAAATCCCATTCATATGGTTTGGCTGTGTGTCCCCACCCAAATCTCACCTTGCAGCTCCCATAATTCCCACGTGTTGTGAGAGGGACCTGATGGGATGATTGAATTACAGGGTTGGGTCTTTCCCGTGCTGTTCTTGTGATAGTAAATGGGTCTCACAAAATCTGATGGTTTTAAAAATGGGAGTTTCTCTGCACAAGCCCTTTCTTTGCCTGCTACCATCCACGTGAGATGTGACTTGCTTCTCCTTCTGCCATAATTGTGGGGCCTCCCCAGGCATGTGAAACTGTAATTCTAGCAAACCTCTTTCTTTTATAAATTTCCCAGTTTCAGGCATGTATTTATCAGCAGCGTGAAAATGAAATAATAACCCATATTCATTAAACTATCATTTTCCATTATCCCCAGCCCCTGGCAACCCCCAATCTGCCTCTGTCTTCATGAATTTACCTATTCTAGATTTTTTATGTAAGTAGAATTATACAATATCTTGTGTCAGGCTTCTTTCACTGAACATAACATTTCCAAGGTTCATCCATGTTGTAGCATACATTGCTACTTTTTATCCTGAGTAATATTCCATTGTATGGATATGCCACATTTGTTTATCCATTCATCATTGATGGACATTTGGATGTTCGCACTTTTCGCTCTCGTGAATGAAGCCATTGTGAATATGTAGCAGCTACATCATGTTACATTCCCACCAGCAATGTACAAGGGTTCAGATTTTTGTACATCCTTGCCAACATTCACTATTTTCTCTTTTTAAAAAAATTATAACCATTCTAGTTGGTGTGATGTGATATTTCATTGTGGGCTTGATTTGCATTTCCCTAATAACTAATGATGCTGAGTTAGGTGCATGGTCTCCATTTGAATACCATCTTTGGACGAATGTATATTAAAGTCCCTTGAAATAATTTTACTTGGGTGGTGATTGTCTTTTTGTTGTTTTAATACACATTTATCTGATGAACGAATACATGATTCACAATTCTATCCAGATCTTAGATCTGTGGCTTCAGCACAGATGAAATCCTACTGCTTAGAAAGAACTGTCCCACCATCCCTGGATGATTCTCTCAGCCAACCACCCTAGATCCCTCACACCCAATAGGCACATTGTTCTCAGCCTCAATCTCTCTGTTATCGTTTCTCTCTGGCAGTGTTCCCAAGTGTGTGAGTGTGTGCATCCTTGTGCACAGCGGGATGGGGCAGGGTCTATTGTCTCTCTATTAATATACACACAAGACCAGAACATTCCTGTAATGCAGAGAACTATAAGGAAAGGGAGTCAGCTGTGGATAAATCAGCTCACACCTAGAATCATGGGTGCATGCTGCTCTCTTTCTCTGTGGGGTTTTGCCTGTCTCTGTCTCTGCCTACCTCTCGTAATGTTGCCGTTTATTCTAATTGTCTCTTCTGCTCCTCAGTATATTTCCCCATTGGTTTCCACTTCCCCCTGTCTGCTCTCTGCTAATGTCATGTCTCCTTCTACCTCTTCGGCTCACTGGATTTTCTGGATCTGTAAATTGCCAGTCCTCAGACAATCAATTTGCTTTTCTAAATCTTGATGACCCCTTGTCCACAATAGCCCCACAATCATGGGATGAAGAAGCCTTAGAGAAGGCACCAATGTGGTTGCTCCTGGATGATGGAGGTATGACTCACTGGGGCTCAGCCAGGATGTGCAAGTGCTTAGAGGAATATCAGAACACTTAATGCATATGATTGGTTCAGGGCTGAGCAAAAGACCCAAACCAGGTCAATAAGCCTCAGCTCTGGTGCTGTCTTAGAACTACTTGTTTTGCTAACTACAGCTAGTGCTCGACTTATGACCACGATTGGTTCCAACAGACCAGTCATAACACGATTTGGTTGTAAGTTGAGTAGGTTATATGCATGCGGAGATGGTAGTGCTGCTGGAAGCTGGTCCGCACTGTCGTACGCCCAGCTGGGCAACGTTTGCGCTGCCAGACGCGGAGCAGTCATGGCTAGCGATTGTGGTTGTAAAGTCGAATGGTCGTAAGTTGCAAAAGTTGTAAGTCGATCAATACCTGTATAGGGATTATGTAAGCAGAGCTGCTGGGGGCGCCACACAGAACAAGCTTGCTGAGAATGAAGCCAACCGACGAAAATACAGCCAAGGAATGGAGAGGGAGGGACTGAGCCTTGCAAAGCCTGAAGCTTGCCTAGCTGTCCTATGGGAAATTTTAATTTTGTGAGTCAAGATACCCCTATTTTCACTCAAGTCAGTTTTCCAGGCCATATATCTAAAGAGTAGGACACCTCATTGGATTAATAAACAAAGAGTGTTTAATACCATGTGAGCAACGTTTCAGGAAGTGGTTTTCAAACACTGGTTTTTGAATCAGGAACTTGACAGAAGGTGTACCTAGGGAGTTATTGACAGTAAATGTGGAATTGTCTCTGAATTAATACACACAGAAGACCAGAACATTCCTGCAATGCAGAGAACTATAATGAAAGGGAATCTGCTGTGGATAAATCAGCTCACACTAGAATCAGAATGGCCAGAGGTGTAAATCGAACGTGCGTTGGTCACAGCTCTGACCTATATATAGGTCACAGTCCAGATTACTGGGCCCTACCTAGCACCCGCTGGAACTACTGGGGTACAGCATAGGTATATCAGGTTGAAGGTGGCTGTGAGTGACAGCACAATCAAAGGAACAGTGGTTTCAATAAATGGGAAGATTTTTTTCTCTTTCCCATGTAAGTCCAGTATACGTGATCCAGACCTGACATGGCACGTCACAGGGTGAAGAATCCTGGCCCGTCTCATGTGTTTTTCTGCTATGTATTGCCTCCATTTCCAAGGTCATTGTTGATTCAAAAATGGTTGCTTCAAACTCAACAATTACATTCACAATTCAGCCAGCAACAAGGAAGAAAGAACAAAAGCAAGACGTACTCTTATCCCTGATAATACACATGCTGCTTTTCCCACAGCCCAGAAGAACATAAAAGATCTGAACAAAGGAGAGACATACTGTATTTATTGATAGAATTTCTTAAAGTTGTAAAATTGTCATTTGTCTCCACGGTAACCTATTAAACTCACATTCCAATATAATAAAATTCAGGTCAATTCTAATCAAAATCTTATCATGACTTATGAGAACTTGACAAACTAATGCAAAAATGTCATATTACAGAATTAATTTTCACAATTAGTTAAATCCCTTTTGAAAACAGAATAGGAAAGTGTTCACAGACACTAAAATGTGTTACAAAATGATTAGTGTGTTGAGACACTGGCTACTAAGGATCTAAGTGGAATAAACATTTAATTACAAATTTGTTGTGTTCACTCCATCCTCCTCCTTGATGCATGTAACAAGGCAAGAGTT